GTATATTAGCAGGAAGCTGGAGTTGGAAGTGGAGCTGTAACTAGAACCCAGGCATTCCCATATGTGATGCAGATGTCCCAAGTGGCATTTTTTTTTTTTGCCAGGCAGAGTTAGACAGTGAGAGAGAGAGAGAGAGAGAGAGAGAAAGGTCTTCCTTCCGTTGGTTCACCCCCCAAATGGCCGCTACGGCCAGTGCGCTGCGCCAATCCGAAGCCAGTAGCCAGGTGCTTCCTCCTGGTCTCCCATGCAGGTGCAGGGCCCAAGCACTTGGGCCATCCTCCACTGCCTTCCTGGGCCACAGCAGAGAGCTGGACTGGAAGAGGGGCAACCGGGACAGAATCCGGCGCCCCGACCGGGACTAGAACCCGGTGTGCCGGCGCCGCAGGTGGAGGATTAACCTAGTGAGCCACGGCACTGGCCCCAAGTGGCATCTTAACACCGCACCAAACACTTGCCAACAACAGAATCTTAGACAAAACAAAACAGGAATGCAGACATGATCCTGCATTTTTATCTCATTCTTGGTGTAACACTTGCTACAATCTTTCATTTTTTTCTTAATGTAATACTTGATACATGCAAACAACTGATAAAATGCACATGTTACAAATCCTAGTAAACCCAGTGCCACCAGACCCCACAGCAGGACTCTCTGACTTCTGTCTCTAGGGGCCCTCTTGGCCCGAGGCCCTTGCTGTTGAAGTCACTGCACAAATACACCCCTTCTCAACAGACTTATGGCTCAGTTCTGCCTTCTTTTAATGGCCTTATTGCTTATTTTTTCTTGAGGATCCTGAGTCTTTTCACTCAAGGCCGCAGGAGTCTGTGGCATCCCCAGCTTCCTGTGGCCATCACTGTCCTCTTCCCTATCTCATCGCTGCTTCCAGCTTGTGCTGTGAACAGACCTGGCAGCATGCTGGTTCACAGAGCCGTCCTCTAGGGCAGACCTGGGAGCGCCCCCATTCCACAGTATACCCAAGTGCTTCCCAGGATGCTCTTTAAGCCACACATGTCCCAGCAGTGCAAGCACAACCCACCCCCCAACACCCAGGTCTAACAGGTACCCCTGTGAGCAGGCTGACCTGCTTCTCAGACCCCTACTTTCTCTTGTGTGCAGCACCTGCCCTTATTTTGCTGATTAAGAAAAACATTTGTTTATTTAAAAGGCAGAGTCTGAGAGAGAGAGAGAGAGACAGAGACAGAGACAGAGACAGAGAGATGTTCCATCTACTGGTTCACTCCCCAAATGCCTGTACCAGCCAATGATGAACCAGGCCAAAGCCTGGAGCACAGAACTTATCTGGGTCTCTGGTAGCAGGAACCCAACCACCTGCCACGTCCCAGGTTGCACATCAGCAGGAAGCTGGAGACAGGAGACAGAGCCAGAGCCAGAGCCAGCGCCAGAACTGGAATATGGGATGTGGGTGTCCTAAGTGGTGGCTTAACCACTACAGTGTCTTTCAATAAATCAAAGTGTCTGGTTCTGATGGAACTGAGTGTGTTGAGCTTTATTTGCAGTCAGTGCACTTGGTCCTCTGCAGCTTCCTATGTAGGCATCTGCTCTTGCATCTTTGTGGGGAAACACACGGGGGACTCACTGACGCCTCCTCACTGGGACATCAACCTATCCAGGGTGCAGGCCCCTATTCCTCACTGCTGGGCCTGATATCTTTTGCATGTGGGCCTTCAGCCTGTCTTCATGAGGGCCTGGAACTTGTGTCAGATGGCAGGAGGCGACCACGGAACTGTGACCTTAGATGGAAGGCTATGTGGCCTCGGGGTACCGAGATCAGGGAGGACTCTGAGATGGAGGCCCTAAGGCAAGGTAGCAGAGCAGCCTGGGAAAGAAGCCACGTAAACCTGGACACAGCTTCTCCAGGGCCAACACCAATGAGGAACACTGAGGTCACACACTGGCTGTGGCGCTGCCTCACTCAGGCCCTGTTCTGTCATCAGCAACAGGAACAGGCACACAGACTCACACTCACAGGCACTTGAGACTGCATGAAGGCTGCAGGACAAAGGCAGAGGTACAGCTCACTAACATGGAGCACACACTGGGATTTCGTAATTGCAGGTTCCCAGGGCCAGGGATCCCAGGTCTGGGGTAGTTTATGGCAGGCAGGGAGCTCAAGGGCAATGAAAGTACTGTGTGTTGGGCCCAAGTCAGGGTCCTGGGGCTGGACCAGAGCTGGAACCCAAAGGCAGAGGGGCAAGAGGAGCTGGAGGAAGGGCTCTGCTCCAGACCAGGGACCATGGCACAGGACCCATGACCTGCAGGATGCCCCGGCAGGGTCCAGGTGCTCCTGAGAGGGAGGAAGACCTGGTCCCTGCTAACCAGCTGGTTCTCCTGAGACTTGTGCCCAGGAATGGACAGCCAGAACCCAGAGAATACAATATGTCCACCTCAGGGAAGGAGGAGGCTGAAACCCAAGCCGGTGCTGCAGTGGGTGGGGGCTGCGGCTCCAGCCTACAAGGGAATGTTCCGAGAGTGGTTTGGTGAGCCTGGGGGCTGGAATGGGAGTGGGTTTGTGTTCCTTAGAGAGAACAGCCATTGTTAGGGCTGTACTATGCTAACCAGGAAGCTTCTGGAACAAAGCCCCTCTGTCCACAGGTACCACCCTAGGAGAAAAGCACAGCCGCCCTGAGCCCACTCCCACCCAGCAACCCCTACCCCCTCACCAACACATACACACCAGGTGCATCCATGGCCCAGGGTGAGCAGTAACAGAGGTCATCCTGGGCGGTCCCACCCAGGGGTTTTGGGTGCTGAGGGCCTAACACAGCTCATGATGCAGGTGCAGCACCTCACCCTGCCCAACCTCATCCACCACAGTTCAGGGTCTCCCTCCCTGGGCCTGCGCTCTGCCCCTACCTACAACCCCAGACAGAGAAACTGAAAAGGGTGGCAGCATGGACCAGAGGCCTCTTGCAGAGGGAGGGCCCACTATTTATTTCTGAATCCCCCCCACAGGCCCTAAATGCTCACAGCCACCAAGCATGTCATGACCTGCCCCTGGGGACCATTCCATGCCCACCTGAATGCTGTTGGTCATAGTCAGGACAGGTGTAGCTTCTGTAGCAATTTAATGGCCTAGAGCTCTGCCTCTCCATCTCTGCATCCACCAGGCCCCAGAACCTGCTCCTCTGACACCCAAACTCAGAGGCTACGATTGTGGGCCCTCAGTGTCTAGGTGGTTGGATCCAGACAAGGCCGGGCAGGACTCCTGCCAGCCTGGTCAGCTCCTGCTAACACTGTCCCTGTAGTTGGCACAGCACCACTTCCAGGCAGGCCTCCTGGCTCCTCAGTGTCCCAATCATTTCTGCTGCCTGGCAGGCCCCAAAGTGCCAGTGTCCCATCTTCACTTCTCCCTTGCCAATGGGGCCCACAGGCCTGGGCAGGGCCCCTGTCTTGTTCCCAGGACCACTGCAGGGCTGCTAGCTCCTGTTGAAAGCCTCCTGCAAGGCCTGGGGAGAGCTCCACCACAGTCCCTGGTCCCGGCTGCCAACCTGCAACAAGATGCTGGCATCAGCTGGTTCTTCTCCTCTCTGGCCCCTGCCACCACCAGATGCTGGCAGGCCACAGGCCCCTCTGTATTCCCCAGGCCCCAACAACTGGATCCAGTGTCCCTGATGCTGCACAGCTCCCCCTGCAAGGGCTTATACCTCAAGTCATTCCTCCTGGAGAAAAGTTGGTGGACCCAGGTCTACCACTAAAGTCCCCCCCATCCTTGGCTCTGCTTCACCCTAAGCCAGAAGCAACTTGGCCACAGGGACCCCTGGATCCCTACAGGGACAGGGTCCCCAATCTCTGGCCCTCAGCTCTCCCCCAGGACCACCCACCACAGGCCCAACTGGTTGTGGGGTGTGAGTATGAGCCTAGATCAAGCAGGCCAAGTCCCTCTAGGCATTCCCAGTGCTCAGCACAAACCCCTCAGGGACGCCCACTGCACACACTACCCTCCAGAAGCAGGCAGTGCAGATGGGGCTGAGCTTGGGAGAGCCACCTTGGCCAAGTCCCTACACAGACCTAGCCAGGTGGGGTGTGGCCACACCCACAGGGTCCTCAAGCCTCCAGCTCCAGAGTGTCCCTGGTACCTACCCTGATCTTCTGGGGGACTCTGCCAAATTAGCTCTGCTCTCCAGTGCTGGGACATGAGGATGACTGCCAGCAGTGACATGGTGCCCTTGTCCCCTGAGTGAAGCTGCTGTCACAGCAGTGGGACAGCTGGGACCCTGGGAAACATGTGTGGGGTGGCTCAGCAGCCATCCCCAAGTCAGGGGTCCAGGAAGCACCATCACTCCTCTGGTTTACTGAAGAGTTTCTAGGAGATCATGCCTGCAGTTTAGTTTGAAATGATTCAGAAAACAGGCGTAGCCCACGGTGAGGGGCCACCCATAGCTTCAGCAGGTTACAGCCAATGGGGAGGAGCCACTGCTCCCCTTGCACGGATGACACAGGAGGAACCCCCAGATGAACTCCTGGAAGAGCTCAGGGACCCCACAATGGGGAAAGGATGGTGCCACGCAGGCAGTAGAAATTTCCCACCTACCCAGCCTTCAGGCCCATGTTTAGTGCTGATTAAGATGCCAGCTAAGGACTGGTGTCTGGCCTTCCCAGCTCCTGCACTGGAGTGCTTGGGTTGGATATTGGCTCCATTTCTGACTCCAGCCTCCTGCTACCTGGGAGGTGGTGGTGATGACCCAAGTGGTTGGGTCCCTGCCACCCAGATGGGGGACCCAGATAGAGCTCCTAGTTCCCTGCTTCAACCACAGCCAGTGGCTGTTGCAGGCATGTGGGGAGTGAACCAGCAGATGCGGGGAGCTCCCCATCTGTTTCCATCTGTCTGTTGCTTTCTCTCTCTTCTCTCTTCTCCCTCTTCTCTCTCTGTCTCTCTCTCTCTCTCCCTTTCTGTCTCCATCTCTGTCTTTATGCCTCTCAAACAAAAACAAACAAAAATAACCTCACAATTTAAGTAGTGGCTCCGTTCCATCAGCGCTTAAATTTCCCTCATGTCAGCCCACCCAGGAAGTGGGGGTGGGGAGAGGGCTGGGCGAGGACCTGGCAGACAGGAGTGCGCAAAGCTAGGATGAGGGCATGGCTTTGTGACGCCTGTGTGAGGCCTCACCTTAGCCATCCAGGCCACCCACCTGGGCTCCACCGCCTGCCACAACTCCTTCTGAAGACCCTGCAGCTCTTGCGCTACCAGCTCCAACTCGCTAACCCTGTGCTCACGGATCCTGGGCAGAAACATGTCCTGTGATGCTGCGGCAGGTGCCTGGGGAGGCAGGTGTCCTGGACAGTATCCTGCAGGCCGTTCTCTGGGTCTCTGAGCATCTCTGTTTCAACGACAGTCAGAGAGCCGAGGCTCTGGTCGCTGTGGCAGCCATGGGTGTACATGTGTATCTTGCTCAGGAGGGCGCTGTGCTTCCACTGATTGGAGATTGGGCCTCGCCAAAACAACGGCAGCTTTCCCAACAGCCACTGCACAAGGCGCAGGTCCACAGGAGGTGTAGCTGGGCCAGGCCTGGTCAAGGACTCACACTATGCCAAGTGAGGCCGAGTTTCCATCAGCCGAGAGCGGCTAGAGCACCTGGAAAAGGAGCTACGAGAGCCCGGAGGCTGCTTCCAGATGGTCGAATGTGGTGCTCCCAATATCTCCGGTCCAGAGGACAGCCACCGACTCTGTGCAGTAATGGCCATGGGCAGGGCTTCTGCCTGTGCCCCAGAAATGTTCCACCCAGTGTCACCATCTCCCCATGCAGCCAGGATCGGTTTGTAAGATAATTTTTTAATTTCCTCTTTTATTTGTCCCTTGGTGTATTGGTTACTCGGGAGTATCTTGCTTACTTTCCATGAAATTAAGTAGCTTCCAAAGTTTTTGTTGCTATTGATTTATAGTTTATTGAATTATGATTAGAAAATATAATTTTAATTTTTTAAAAAATTGTTAGGATTTACGACTTACCATATTATCTACCCTGGAAATTGTTTCATATGCCATGAAGAATTTGCACTGTGCAGCAGTTAAATGGAATGTTCTGTACAAGTCTTTTAGGGCCAATTGATTTAAGGTGCATTTTAATTCTCCTCTTACTTAGCTGATTTTCTGTCTTGATGATATGTCTATTTCTGAAAGTGGTAAGTTAACATTCCCAACAATTAGTGTATTGTAATCTATTACTTCCTTTAGGTCTATTAATATGTGTTTATGTACTTGGGTGCTCTGATAGTTGGTACATATATATATATATACATTTTTTATTTCCTTTTACTATATTGAAAACTTTATCATTATATAATGTCCTTCTTTGCCTTTTTATTGTTTGTGATTTAAAATCTATTTTATCTGATATAACTACAGGTATGCCTGCTTTCTCTTGAGTTTCATTTGTATGGAATATCTTATTCCATCCTTTCATTTTCAATATAAGTGTATTCCTAAAGATTAAGTGAGTTTCTTGTAAGCAGCACAAAATTAGGTCTTTTTTGTATTGTTTTGTTTTTGAGATAATATTTTTAATTTATATTATATTAAAAGGCTTAATACTCCAGTAATAAAGAGCTCAATATATAAGAATTAAAAAGACCATAGTTCAGCAGGAATATAGACAAGGGCTATAAACAATAATAAAATGAAAAGATGACTACTTCACTCATATACAGTAACTTTTAAAATAGTCTCAGCTCATTAAAACTTTAGTAGTATATCCTAACAATATGGCTTGTTTCTTTATGCATTTGGCCACTCCAGGTAGTTCAATTGGAATATTTAATTTACTTATATTTAATGTAATTATTGAGAGTTAAGCTCTTACTACTATCATTTTGATGATTTTTTTCTAGTTTTCTTATAGTTCTTTTTTCTTTTTTTATTTATTTTGAGAGTTAAATTAAGAGAGAGAGAGACAGACAGACAGACAGACAGACACAGAGAGCTCTTAACCACTGGTTTACTCCCAAAATGTACACGTTAACTGGGGCTGGACCGGGACAAATCTGGAAAGCTGGAAGCAGGGAACTGAATTCAGGTCTCCCACGAAGATGGCCGGAACCTCACCATTTGATTCAACATCTGTTGCTTTCCAGGATGTACATTGTCAGAGGGCTCAATTTGGCAGGGAGATGGGGACAAACCTAGACAACTCTGATAGGGGTGTAGGTGTCTGAATCGCGAGACTGAGTCCCTCCTCTGCCTTTGCAGTTCCTTTCATTCGTTCACCTTTTCTTATAATCTTCATTGGTTGTTAGAAAGATTTGTCGGGAGAGCGGCAAGATGGCGGAATAGGAAGGGAGCACACTGATAGTCCGGGAAGAGACAGTTTAATAAAAGTGGAGATACTGCAGGTTCAAGGAAGAGTAGGGGAAGAAACCGCAGAGGAAACTCTTCTGGAACTAGTGATTCACAGTGGACCTGCGTGGAGAGCATGGGAGCCCACAGTTCGGGACACCAGCGGCAGAATCAACACACCAGTGCTGGAACGCGAGGTGAGCCAAACCTCAATAGCCTGAGACACCAGCGGGCAAGCAGAAAGAGGAGACTAGAGGGAATGAGGCTTGAAACCCCGTGGGGAAAAGTTCACCAGGCTAACTAGAAAAGAGAGTAAAAAAAAAAGTGACCGATACGGACACAAGTTTCTTTCTCTCTGCTCACCTCTCAAAGGCGAGCAAGACAAAGAGCAGGTGCCATCTTGGGCATACGTCATAAGCGGGGCGACCTCAGGTCTGCACCCATCCTCAGCCAAGCGGAAAAACCTGACTCTGGGGGGGGGGCGTGAAATAACAGAAGATTAGGACCTAGTGAATGTGCGGTGCTAATGAACTGACACTGTGAAAAAAGAGACGGTGGGGGAGAGAACTCACGGAATTCACGTGAGTACTCTCCAGAGACGCTACAATTCAGTAACCTTGGCAACCCAGTGGGAGACTGCAGGAGAATTTGAGTCCACACTGAGGGCAACACATATTCTCTGTGTGGTCCTTGGGAAAGAGCTCCCAATCTCTGGCTCCTGTGGGTATATCATTCGCCTGCTAACTACCTCCAATTCTGATCAGCTGTGCGGAATTACTTCCCTTCTGAATCAAAAAAAGAAAGAAAGAGAGAGATTTACCACGCCTAACCTAGGAGTGTCACCTTTGGTACACCCTTATCCCTGAGGAACCAAACAGAGCTCTCAGGCCACACCCATCTCAAGCCTCTAAGGCTCCAGCAAAAGCAGACAGTCCACTTAATACAGTCATAGTATAACAAGAAAAAACACCACAGTGAGCGAAGAAAAATCCAAAGAATATCTCCACAATGCCAAGTAACAAACGTAGAAACCGAGGAAACAAGAAAAAGGAAGACATTATAACACCCCCAAATGAACAAGACACCCCAAGCCAAGATTATGAAGATGATGAGATGGAAGAAATGCAAGATACTGATTTCAAAAAATTTATGATAAGAACAATTAGAAGTTTTCAAAAACAAATGCTTAAGCTACGAAATTCCTTACTGGACAGGACAGAAAATCTCTCTCATGAAAATGAAATCTTAAGGAGGAATCAAAATGAAATGCAGAAGCTAGTAGAACAGGAAAGTGTGATAGTGAAGAGAAATCAAAATGAAATGAAGAACTCAATAGATCAAATGACAAACACATTAGAGAGCCTTAAAAACAGAGTCAGTGAAGCAGAAGACAGAATATCAGACTTAGAAAACAGAGCACAGGAAAGTATACAGTCAAACCAAAGAAAAGAAGAGGAAATTAGAAATCTAAAAAATATTGGTGGGAATCTACAGGATACTATTAAAAAACCCAACATTCGGGTTCTAGGAGTTCCTGAAGGCATGGAGAGAGAGAAAGGATTAGAAGGCCTTTTTAGTCAGATTTTAGCAGAAAACTTCCCGGGTTTGGAGAAGGACAGAGACATCCTAGTACAGGAAGCTCATAGAACCCCTAGTAAACATGACCAAAAGAGATCCTCACCACGACACGTTGTAATCAAACTCACCACACTAAAATATAAAGAAAAGGTTCTAAAATGTGCAAGAGAGAAACGTCATATTACTCTCAGAGGATCTCCAATTAGACTCACAGCAGACTTCTCTTCAGAAACCCTACAAGCTAGAAGGGAATGGCGAAACATAGCCCAGATGCTAAGAAAGAAAAACTTCCAACCCAGAATATTATATCCTGCAAAGCTATCATTTGTGAATGAAGGTGAAATAAAGACCTTTCATAGCAAATAGGAATTGAAAGAATTTGTCGCCACTCGTCCAGCCCTGCAAAAGATGCTTAAAGATATGTTACACACAGAAACACAGAAACACAGTCATCAATATGAAAGAAGGTAAAGGAAGGAAACTTCACAGCAAAAGATCACTGTAGGACCCCAAAAGCGGTGTCCTCTTGTGACGACCCCAGAAACACAGACTCCGGACCAGACGATGCAATAGAACAGGAGGTAATTTATTTCATTTGTACAAATGGGCCCCCTACTGCTGCAAGCAGCAAGCAAGTGAGAGGAGCCCCGAGCAGCTATCTCACACAGCTTTTAAAGGGCAAAACCACAAAATTAACATATTATAGGCTGGTGTAAGTTCATTGGATAATTTTCAGTAGCGGGCCTTGTATGGCAGTCTGAAGTGCTAATGTCGGTGGAAAAGTACTAGGTCAAAGGGATACATTAGGGGGAGGGGGTTTCTAGGAGACAGGAGTAGGTTGCTACGTGCCTTGCAGCTTTTTTTGTTAACCTTGAGCAAGCGTAGGGAAGGGGCTTATCTACAAGGCAGGTGTTCTGTGTATCTGGTTAGTAGCTGACTGCTTTCTCTGTGAACCGGTTTACTCCCCATTTCCCAAGGCCGTCTCTGGAACAGTTTGTCTCAGGAGCCCCATTTTTTTATGGTGGCTCTTGGCTCCTTTAAATCACAGGAAGTTCAAAGCATATATTAGAAAATATCTGGCAAATGGCAGGGCAAAGTTACTACTTATCAATAGTCACATTGAACGTTAATGGCCTGAATTGTCCAGTTAAAAGACAAAGATTGGCTGATTGGTTTAAGGAACAAAACCCATCTATTTGCTGCTACAAGAAACACATCTTTCCAACAAAGATGAATACAGACTGAACGTGAAAGGCTGGAAAAAGATATACCATGCCAACAGAAATGAAAAAAGAGTGGGCGTAGCCATCTTAATATCGGACAACATAAACTTTGCCACATGTTAAGAGACTAAACAAGGGCACTATATAATGATTAAGGGATCAATTCAACAGGAAGATATAAAAATTATTAATGTATATGCACCTAATTACAGGGCACTGGTTTATTTAAAAGATTTGTTAAGGGACTTAAAAGGGAGACTTAGACCCCAATATAATAGTATTGGTGGACTTCAATACTCCACTCTCAGAAATAGATCAACAGGACAGAAGATCAACAAGGAGACACTAGATTTAAACGACACTATAGCCCAAATGGATCTAACAGATGTCTACAGAACTTTTCATCCTACACATAAAGCATTTACATTCTTCTCA